GTCTTTTACTGTAACCTTATAAAATCGTTCCACCAATTACTTTAGCTCTGATAGTGAATAGTGATTCCAAAATTATTATAGTGTCTCCCTTATTTTCAGTCTTTGGTGGTGCTGTACAAACAGTAGAAAATTTTTTGACAGGATTGGCAATTGAGTTTCAGCAATAATATTGCATAGTGAAAATTAAGGGTGTATACTGTTCATTCTCTATTCATTCTCATTGTCCCCAACAAACTAGTTGAAACTAATAAAATTAGTTAACCTCTGGCAAACCGTATTATATGATAATGATATTGAGTCAACTATTTACTATAAGTGGAATAAAAAAAGGCTACTTGTTACTAAGATTTTATATTTAATCAAACAATACAACTTATTTTATTTTATTTCAAATTGTTGAAAATCAGTGGTGTCAAGGCTTGGGGTGGATTTCCCAGTAAATTACAAAAGACACGTCAAGGGAGGAAATAATTTTCAGAAAAATCCATAAAAGAATTGGTAATTTTACTTAAAAGGGTTTAAAAGCTGCTCACAAAGATTAATAAATTATTTCAATAATATTTACTAATCCTACAAAATTAAAGTATTTTTTACGTATAAACATCAAATAGAGTAAAAAAATAAAATATAGTTTAATTTTATGTCTGAATCGAGGGGAGAAGGTGTATTTACTAACTAGAACTTAAAACTTGAAAATAATGTTGGTAATTTTTTACAAAAATTGGATGAATAAAGTGACCAACTTTAAACTAAAGATTCTGTCCTCACTTTTTCTCTCGTCCTATTTCAACTATGCACAACTTTGTCTTAAACTAAGAATTTAAAATATTCAACCACATAAACCAAAACTGTCGAAGTAAAACAAATACGATTAAGGGAAACAGAATTTTTTTTGCCATAGTAATCAAATGAACAAAAAGTAAAGTAGAAATAGTATTATTAGTATAAAGATCTGACAAAAACTGTGACTTTCGTATTATTGAAAGAATATCAAATGTTTTACTAGGAAAGCACTTTCAAGTTTGCTTTAATGTTGGCTTAGGGTCTGTTCAACAAAAACCCCCAGGTTCTCTTTGGTTTGGCTACTGTAGTTACCTTTGCCCGAGCGAGTAGCATTACACTCATGGGTCATTTCGTTTATAAACCAAATTAATTGAAATATTTTCCATAATTGTTTCCAGTGTGTTCCTAATGAAGACTTCGAAAGTTTACTGTCGCTAAGGTAATATTTTTAACCTTATTTGAGCGTAGTAATATAAATTAACTGACGACTGTTCATCATCAACCTGTCAGTAAACTTAACTTCTTCACGATCGGCTGTCTGTTTTTTTACTGATAAAGTATTTACTTTTTGCTTTCAGGTTTGTTGTAGTGGGGGTATTTTCTTCTTTAAATAGGTGGACAGCCAATTCCTATGCGGCGACTGATACGACTGCAGCAGCGCTCTTCCCCATGCCAATACCGCGACGCTCGTGACTAGTGCAGTAATTATTTTTACCTACGACCGTTTTTTAAAGTAGCCATTTCAGTCCAGATCTTAGAATTGAAAAGTTTCACTTTACAGCTGTTTACTTTCATATCAGCATAGTTTCATTTCATATCAGCATAGTTTTTCTCATATCAACACGGGTAACGGACCAATGAGGTTCAAGGATTGAGAGAAAAGAAGTACAATTGTAATACTTCGAACGTCAACTAATCAGCTGATCAGCTGATCCGTTGACAATTTTAATTGTCGATCCGGCTTGTTCCTGTTGATAATTGAGTATTCTTAACCTAAGTTGGTGGAAGTTAAATGAAGGTTGATTTTAAAATATCAGTTAGTGAAAGTGATGTTGACGAGATAGAAATGAGAGCACAAACTGTTTGTGCTAATCTTTTGCCACCAAAATCAAAACAAAGGTACCATATGCAATTACATACCAGCAATTCATTAAATGGACGAAACAAAATAAGGTTAAATTGATAAATGAAAATCTTCTTCTGGTTTATTTTGAAAACCTCTTAACCACTTTTTCACCCAACTCGTTGTGGACCACATATTCGATGCTGAGATCTAACTGTAAATTAACTGTTTCACTATATTATTCAGTTGTCCAAAAATATATGCAATATTTGCCTAATTGTACCTGATACAGTATTTATGGTAAGAATGCTGCTAGCAGAACCTATTGCCTGAAAAAGTAAAGTATTATTTAACAAAGTTTTACAAACACGTAATTACATGAAATCAGATGATTATACAATAAGTCGTTGCATCACTTTCAGTGACAATGACAATAAACGAAAACATAACCTCTCTAGGAAGTTATGAGAAGTGATTGTTAGTAATACAAAACCAGATTTTTAGTAATTAAAAAACTGTCGTAGGTAAGGTAGTGTACGCAACTCGCGTTAATAGTCTTTTACGACACTCGTAGAAGTTTTTAAGGCACTCGCCAAGGCTCGTGCCTTAAATTTTTTACTCGTGTCGTAAAGACTAACTTAACACAATCGTTGCGTAAACTACTATAAAACCGTTATTGTAATATTACAGTAATATTACGTTTTTTGGCCATCATGGAAGAAGCACATATGTTAGAAGCGTATATTTGACTCGAAGAAGATGAGGAAGAAGACATAATACAAATGGTAAAAACCATAAAGAACATTGTTCGGGGTATGGCTAGAAGAGGAATTTCAGAGTATTCTCATTCAGTGACATATTGTTCAAGATTAAACTATGTTTAGAAAGTTTTCCGAGGTAATATAAACCAGTTTAATTACATTTTATCGTAAATCGGAAGTGATTTAGAAGTGCATAATTGTATTGGGTGTGCTTGGGGTTAAAAACGGATTGGTGGTGACGAACCAGTTCAATTAACTTTAAATCATCCATGGAGGCACACTCCTCAGACTCAGTATAGAACACTATAAATTCACTACAACCACATAGGAATAGGTCTGCTTTACTTTGCATAGTAGCAGTCACTTGTCATATAGCCGCATGACTACATTCGTAAAAGTCGCCATATTGGACCTAAACTGGAATCCAAACCACCACACTTGGTTAAAAACAAATTGTGATTTCTTGGATTTGAACTCGTACCTCCAAGATTAAAGGCCAGAGCCTTCGCCAATATTAACAGCTGCGCCCCCAAGCATTTCGATAACTGTCGACGTCGATGACGGTTAACAACATAGTATTTAGATTATAACCTTTCTTTCAATTTATTTTAAATGTTTTTTAACTTGTAAGTTCTTACTAATTTTAGACGGTAAATTTTTTTGCGTAGGTTTTTTTTGTTACTTAAGACTTTGGGTGGATTGGTATACACGTAAAAAGTTTTGAAAGGCACAATACAAATGTACAATCCCTAAATCAAACAACATAATTTGAATCATGTGAATAAAGTTATTACACTAAACATAACATCAATAATTTTAGACTTTGGTCACAATGCTTGATAAAACATAAAAACAGCGCGAATTATCAAAGCATAAATCTCAATTACAACCAATCACAATAAAACTGTATACAACATGCAGAAGATTGGCGTGTTATTTGCATGTTTACTCTATCGAAAATTTCGTGCTGTTCAATTGCAATATAATTGTGACTTAAATTCTCTTTTTACCTGGCCACGTGGTAAAAAGAAACTACAAAAATTCCTTTTTGTAATACTGTGTTACATATTGCATGTATTATGTATGCAATTTTCAACAAATCGTTTTTTTTACAAACTTAGAAATGTATGTTGTGTTTTATCACGAATGCCTCTCAATGGTCGTAGTGCCACATAAAAGTGCATTAGCCAAGTGATTTCATGGCTCTGCTGCATTAAGCTAAATTCTTATAGCTGCATGTATTACAGCGAAATACCTCTGCCGTATAAAACCTGCAAACTAAATTAATTTCCATTTCCCTTATTGGATTTTCACTTCCCTTAAAAATGTAAGATTTTTCCCTATTAAAATAACAGGTTCAGGGAGTACGTAGGTTTGTGTTCGTTAGGGAAATCTTAGTATAAAATAAATGTATTTGCTACATTTTATCTAAATATATCCATAAACAAGCAATTCTTTTATGAATGGTGACTTGAACATGGGCCACATGGTGATTTATAATGTCCTACAGCGTTTTTGGAATTTCCTCCATATCCATTTATTATGCAACAAAAGTTCAATATACTAAATTGTTTGGGGTTTTAAGCTCTTCAAGATTGTATGAAAATAAATTAGGAAATTTTATGTTTTGAGGGCCAAAAATGAGGAATTCGATTTTCAACCCATAAAACCCCGTTCCTTTAGTCGGATGATTTTTGCCCAAGTTATTGTGCATGATTTAATAATTTAAACTAAAGGTGCTTTTGGGCTCTAGGGACATCAAAATGCAAAACTAAATAAGACCCAGGTCTTGGTCTTGCCATAATACCTATGGTGATAGCATAAGGGGCGATTTCTAAAAAATACTTCATTTTTGTTTCTATTCTAAACTCACTATGATCTCTCACACAATGAGAAACCTAATGTATTATTCTATTTGGTTTATTTTTTATAATAACTCAACCTTATTAATAATCATTATTACATGATGTACAATACATAACTGGGTTATCCCTTGATCTAATATTTTTGTGAAATTAATTTAGTGTCAATGATTTAAATTGTGACATTCAACCCCATTGGCCTCAAGGCAGATTCTATTTAGACTTTATGAATAGTTTTACTTTCTAATTGATCTATGAAGATTCCATCCAAATAAATGCCATCAAAATGTGCCTGAACTAGGACTAGTTTATATTGTATGAATAGACTCTCAAAACTAATCATGAAATCTTTTTGGACAATCAGATGAACAAATTTTCCTTACTAAAAATATGTTAATACAGTACTAAGACTTTTACTAAAAGACTTTTTATATCAACTAAAGTAGTTTGATATAAAAACAAATCCACAAAACTTAACTCCTCAACTAATTGCACTCCAACTCAAATTTAAATTCAACATCAACATCTTACCTTATAGTTATCATGAAATCCCTTTAGGACACTTAAACACATAGTTCGCAACGACCTATGAATTTTATCACATTACATAATCCACGTAGATCGAAATGTGATTTATAAAAGCGTTCACTGTCGTCCGGTGTGGGCGCGCGTCAATCCGCAACTGATCCGGTTGAAGTGGACGAGATTGTTGGCGCACGCGCGTGATTTCCCGCTCACACGCACGCATGTACTCACGCACACGCACGCACTTTGGATAATTGGCTCTAGTAGCTTGTGTTCTGCCGGTTGCGTTCTCGGATTAGGTGATGTTTTTCCACAAACGGCCACTGTCGAATAGCAGTCTGGTTTTATTCAATTATCGAAGCGACTGGCCCAGATTTAAGTCCTGCGAAAGCCGAACATCCCGGCTTAACCTTTCAACATTCATTGTTTGGCGTGGTATAGACTCATTGTTTTCGTAAATTGTTGCTTTTTTACTTTTTTAGGTTAGGTGTGAAATTTTGTGATATTGGTAAAGATAGTTTGGGGTTCGGTGGATCTTAAGCTTAGGACTGACAACATTAGTATGTGTGATACTAAATCATCATATATCGATTAGCACTAAATCGAATAGATGCATTGTTACCAATAAGCTACTTGTTCAACGTGAGGTGGCATATTGGTAAACTTTTCGGATTGTTAATGCATTCGGTGGATTGTAAAGATGAGCGTTTTGCTGTGTTATTACGAGTATTATAATGTACAGAATGGTACGAAAAAGGTATACTGAAATAAGTAACAACTTAGCACGTGCGAATATACATCACATTCTTTACCTAAAAATCGAATAGAACTAAATTAAAGAGACATATTGCTACCAATAAAAAGTTGATATGTTTTGGTTTGCTTGTTGACATTTAGTGTGGAAATGATTCGGTGTTTTATGAAGTAATTTGTCATAATTTTATTTATTTGTATGATAACTTGGATTTGAGGGTTTAGAGGGAGGGGGATTCTGAAGATATATGTTTTTTCTTAAAAATTATTATAAGGTAGAGCATGGTGCAAAAAGGTTGACAGCAGTAAAGAGTGCTAAATCGTTATATATCGTCAAATTTTGTAGCAAGTATAGAAAAGTATTTAGTGATATATCAGTGGTGTTAAAGATACAGAGTACTACCCTAGATGAAGTAATATAATTACATTACTTCATCTATGGTACCACCGTGAAATGGAATGTACCATGAATGATTATGAAAATGAAAAATGGTGACTGGATTAAAACCCCTATGATTTAATAGCTATTCAGCTGTCATTTAAAATACTACTAGCCTAGTAGTTTCTTTGAACCAATAAAAAACATAGGTGTGCAAATAAATAACCTGTTCATTCATTGAGATATTAAAATAATAATAATATTAAAAAATTACTATAACTTTTTACTAGCCCTAAACTTTACATCTTGCTGTTAGTTGTGTTTTTTATCAGGTTTTCTTCATGTTTTGTTTTTATCCCATTGCATCTAGATTATAAATATAAGTTGTACACGTTTTGAATACTGACACTTTTTCCCAACCAGAAAACCAGTTATTAGTACATAGGTCTTATTCACACATTAAAATATATCCTATCAATAAGAAAGTATATAAATTTGTTAAGAATATAATGACAAATATTCCCTGATTCTATTTTGAAAATGTTGTCTGAATAGTAACACAACTATATCTTAAGTTATAGTTTAAATTAAATGAGTCTATATTGTGTTATAAACACCCGTAATTAATTATCATACACGCAACCACAAATCCTCAATGCCAATCCTCAAACCACAATGCCTCGTGGTCCTTATCCATGACAAGAATAAATTCGACAAGGAAATTCCTCAAGACTCACATCTCCCCCCTTAGAATTTCCTCCTCTTCACGACACAAATTAATGATACAAAATATGTTCGTACGGATTCTCATTTTCTTGGAAATATGTAGTTTAATAACTGTAACATAAACCAACCTATTAAAAGTTGTTTAAAGTTGTTGGGATGTACCCAGGCTTCTAGTGAATTTAACCTTTATCTTCACTAGGTAAACTGTATATTATTAATATTTTAGGCACATCCTGTATTACGTGAGAAATATGTGAAAGTAGGAAATATGAAAATAAACTAGGTTAGCAAATGGTATAAAATGAACATTTGATTTTTTAACCTAATTTCTTTCCTGTTAACTAAATAATAATAAAGAGTTAAAACACACCTTATTTTCCAGTTAATTTTCCATTTGTTAAAATTCGTTACCTGGAAAATAAGAAGGAATCCCATTTCAATCACGCTTTTTTTTACTTTTACATAATTTTTCGTTGGGTTGTTAAAATATTTTACAACTTCGAATACACCCTACCCTCTACATCATTTTTTAATGTTATTCAGCCTCCTCAATTTTACACCAAATAAAAATAATTTTGAAGTAAATGAGGAAGTATACATTTGGCTCAAGTTAAACAGTGTTTGATAAGCCTGCGGATTTCCTGACAGCGGAAGCACTCGTGTAAGATAATCCTTTTAACAATTCTGCTCGTGGCACGAGGACTTGATGAAACGAATATTCCCACATGGCTTGCATCCGAATAAGGGATTAACCTTAATATTTCTACAGTTAAAATAATCACTGAAGCAGTGCCTGTGAATTTCAAAAGTCGATAATACTTTAAAGGTTTTGTTGTTTTTTTATTTAAAGCTGCGCCCACATTGTGTATAACTTGGTGCAGTATCTTCTTTTGTTTTGGATAGGCATGACAGGTAGAAAATGGATAGTTAAATTAATTCAAACAATACACACATAGCTGTTAACAAACATTCAACTAAAATATACTTACGACATCCAACAAATGTGGTTACAAAATATTCCGTTTTGTGATTAATGCTGTTGACGCTCGATTATTATTGTCAGTTTGCGTTTTCGTGAAGTTTCAATGGGGGGAGAACCCATTGTGGCTGTTTTAGGATTCTGTTATATTCCGTCTTAACGGTTTTTTACGAGATCAAACAGAAGCTATTAACGTTAACACCGAAGAAAATACAAATTCAAATTGCACTTTTTAAAATTTAAATCCTTAGTAGATTTAAATATGCAGACTTGGAGGGCCACCAGTATGTTTTAGCATGAGTGCTCGTCCAAAAAAAGCTGCGTAACTCATAACATGTACAAAAGTTGAGTTTAGAACAAAGTTTATCATATGTGTGACAGATCTCTCTGTAATTATGAATGTTGTCAGATTTTTATCAGTTTTATCTTGACTCTCTCATGGTTATATTTTATGCTGGATCAAAATGCTTATATATGAGAGACAGCGTAAATATTACCGTAAATATTTTCATATTCATATTTTAAAATATTTTATTCACAAATTCAATTAAAAGTACGGTAAGTGATATGCAAATTGAAAATCCGTAGTATTGGATGGTAAACATATAAATGTGCTTATACAGTCAGATATAGTTCTATTCAATTAATAAATTGAAATATCCGAATGTTTGTACAACGTGCCGTTTACGCTCGGTCAGGATCCAGTATATCTTTGCATTTCTGCGAGTGCACTCATCGTATTAATGGAGACCATTCATTTACTATTTATTTGACCGCTTTTAAAATATTGTATGGGTTACATTCACTAAAAGAATTGAATTATATGATTTGCTATAAATATCAAATAAATAATCTTCGAATACAAATCTATCTAGGTGAATGTATAAAAAATTGCAGGGTTTTGTTTTGTTTTACGAACACAACCAATGTTCTATTTTTAACCTATTTTATGATGATTTTTCTAACTGCATAGGCCTGCGTATGATCTATTCCCCTGAATATATCACAAACACTATTGTCCACACATTTCATATAATCACTATAAGCCTTGTTTCGACTACACGTGATAGGGTCAACCCACAGTAAGATTTTATAAAAGGTTTTCTTTACACTAAAGCCTAAATATCGCTATATTTTATCTAGGAGAGGTAGATTCTAGCTAACTGCTTCAGTATGGGTTGGTTTCTTACCCACCATATCTACATGATCTAGGCTTCTGATGAACATCTATGATTCTACGATCATATCCTCCTCAGCCAGGTGACTTTATGTTGACGAATCAGACGAATTGTTCAAGGTTGTCTCCTTGATGTTCAAGGTTGTCTCCTTGATGTTCAGGGTTGTCTCCTTGATGTTCAAGGTTGCCTCCTTGATGTTCAGGGTTGTCTCCTTGATGTTCAAGGTTGCCTCCTTGATGTTCAAGGTTGTCTCCTTGATGTTCAAGGTTGCCTCCTTGATGTTCAAGGTTGTCTCCTTGATGTTCAAGGTTGTCTCCTTGATGTTCAAGGTTGCCTCCTTGATGTTCAAGGTTGTCTCCTTGATGTTCAAGGTTGCCTCCTTGATGTTCAAGGTTGCCTCTTTGATGTTCAAGGTTGCCTCCTTGATGTTCAAGGTTGTCTCCTTGGTGTCCAAGGTTGTCTCCTTGGTGTTCAAGGTTGCCTCCTTGATGTTCAAGGTTGCCTCCTTGATGTTCAAGGTTGTCTCCTTGGTGTTCAAGGTTGTCTCCTTGGTGTTCAAGGTTGTCTCCTTGGTGTTCAAGGTTGTCTCCTTGGTGTTTAAGGTTGTCTCCTTGGTGTTCAAGGTTGTATCCTTGAATTATTGAGCTACTCACAACCAAACATCATGACTAGCGCCTTATGCAAATAGTTATCCAAAACCAACAACATCATTGTACACAGTTTTATGTTTTCACAGCAAATGTATTCTACTGTATTATTATATGACCTGGTAGAAGGAAAACTAAATGAAACGAAATGAAATGTTAAGATTCCAATTAAAGAAAAAGTGGTTATTTATTATTTTTATACTTAATAATAATGATAATTCATTAATCATGTCTGTAATAAGAAAATTAATTTTCCATTAAAACCCCAGTAAGCAGGAAATAGTAATGAATACAGAATAGTTAAACATGTGAGATTTCTTTAATATTTTGGTTAGATGTTTCCTTAAAAGTATATAGGTTATGCATTACTTACTTATTATATACTCATGTTTAAAAATCATAAACCGTAGTTAAAAGTGAAAATGCATTAATATTTTACTTGGAAGCTTAGGTGATTCCTGCTACC